ATTGGTGGTTCTACTGTCATTCTACAACAGACCTGGAAGAAAGTAATAAGAGTAAGGGCACCTAAGAGAAGAGACTAATTAATATGGAGTAAACAAAGTTTATCTGAAGATTGATTGGCTTAGGACTCAAAGAATCTCACTCCCAATTTAGCATTAATTTCTGGACTGACAAACCCAAAAGCAGTAACCAATCATTGCTCTGAAAGTAGTTTAGAGACAGAGCTACAAATGGTCTCACCAAAGAAAACCAGTCAGAAATTTGATCAGCTCTCACTTCTGCCTGTTTTGAGGAAGGTAACAATACCATGTATCCCACAACATCCCAACACTGTTGATCAGAGCTCTAACTTTTCCGGGAGAATAAGATATTTGCAGAACAACAAAGATTTAATGAGGCACCTTCATACTCTATGAAGTTGCTCTAACAGACTCCAGCTGCAGCTTTCCCAAGGAATAACATCTATACAGTCTTTTCTGCATCCTGAGCTGCAGGAATATGGGTTCAAAAGAAGACCAAGAAACTTATGCAAATGTAGCTTAACCAAAAAGCACATACATCCATGGTGAGATGTTCACCCAGCCAATAATTTCAGGAATGAAAACCAATTTACATTTTGTCACATCACACCATGTCCTCATGCAGTCATCCTCTTTGTTAGCCTATGACTGCATCCAGATGTGTGTTTTTCTATGAATTTTCACTGAAAAAAGGAGTCTTCGGGTCACTGAAAACTCAAGTAGAATAGCGCATGTGAGCACTGGTACTTGGGGGACACCCATAAGCTCCGAGCACAGGTTGACAATGTAGGAACTTGTTTGTATAGCTGGGGCAATTGCTTATTCAATGCATTCCTCTGTATCCATGGCCAGTTTGCAGTATTTTCTAAGACCTCCGGTAAACTTGATGAAGAAGCAGGAACAGAAACAAGACTTCAATTCCCAAGTAGGTCAGGAAGGTTAAAGTTTCAATCTGCCTACACTACTGAAGAACTCATGAAGGAACAGGTCAACATTTCAACATTTGTGAAACAGAAATGGCAAATTAAGAGCCAAATTAATAATGATTTTTTTTCCTTTTTTTTTCTTTTTTTTTTAAGAAAAATAAATATTCAGAACCAAGCTTTTGGGGAAGACCACAGAGAATTAGTCTTACAATTCTGCTAATAGGAATCTGGAGAGCCTTATGTATGTACTCTCATCTTCACTCCCAGGTCTGTGCTGAAAACCTACTCTCTAAGGGTTATCTGAACACTGCTAACAGGAAGGCAGCTAAACATTTGTCCTGCAACAAGGACAGAAAGAAAAATGAACCAGAGTTTTTCTTCTCCTCCCCATAAAACTTGAGCACTCATATTCAGAGTGAATGCAGACAGCTCTGGGACTTGTATAAAAGAGTAGCAATTGGCTGTAAGCATCATAACTTAGAGAACATCCCACACTAACATGGGGAGAGCTTGGGAATAACAAAAATAGACTAATAGAATGAGCCTGGTGTAGCAAATTCCCAGCACCAAGCTCAGGGAGAGGTGAAAAGTAAAGGGAATTAATTAAAGATGATGGAATGAGATCTCTGTGGCCAGATGAGGGAAAGAAAATGTACAGGGAGAATGGGAGTGCATAAAAGCAGTTGATGTCTTCCAGTAAATCTTACAACATTTGCTCATCAGGAGCAGTTCTGTTTGACACAGGCTGCTGTTGTCTGCAACTTGCTCCTTTCTCTTGATGCTTCCTGCTAGAGATGTGCGCTGAATGAGTTCTTTTGTTTTCCACTGGCTCATGCTCAGGGAGGAAAGAGAATGTATCCTCCTTGTATTCAGTTCTTGTGGTGGGGAGGGAAAGCAAGAAGAGTGTTTGTAGCTGTGAGACAAATGTAGTACATTTAGAATTTTCTAACTGGCCCAGATGAGACTTCTCCTGGGTGTTATGTATTGCACAGGTTTACTTTATACCTCATGGGTTTGCCAGTTCCCTGTCCAACTCCTTGTGTGCAGAACAACCTTTGAGGTTCAGTCATTAATCTTATCTCCCTTCAATCTGAGCCCACAGAAGCTGAAACTCATCATTTGAAAATCTTACAGCTCAGATGTATCTTCCTGGGTGCCTATATTGCAAGGCATTTTGCATACAGCTTTACGGCATCAGATCCAAGCTTCTGTGAATTTCTATCAGGAAGGCTGAGATGTAAGATCATGGAAGAGTAACTATACCTTATAAATAGTGTATACTTCAAGATCTCAAAGACACTGGTAACATCTGGGTGAAGAAAACTGGAAGAGAAACATTTTCTTATGACATGGTATTTAGTCAACAGTTTCCTGCTCTGTGACCTTTATATGTTTCTACTGGCTATTTCAAGGGCTATGCTTATGTCTGCTTCTTTGGTCCCTCTGGTTGCACAGCCTAAACAATCCCATTCTCTGAGAGGTTTAGAAATGAATATACCCACCATCCAGATTGATCCAAGTGGTTCTACTGACATTCTTCAGCTGACCTGGAAGAATTTAACAATACACCACTGAATTTAGAGAATAAAGACTGAATTCCCAGATTCCATGTATTCCTAGGTATTTGCTCTAATGATTGCACTGTCCTATAGAGGGGAATATCCATTCCTGTCGAATGCATTTGTTCACAACATTGTTTCCCCAGCAATGTTTATGGGTCCCTTTCTTTACCAGAATTTTTTGTGATTTGTTTAATAAGAAACAACTCTTTCTCAAACTCCCTTATTTGCTAAGTAAGAGCAATAAAAGATGTGCCTCTGTAGATTACTTGTTCCCATCCCTGTAGAAATAAAAGTATTTCAAACCAGGATTCTAAGGGAGACTTACAATAAAGACCGTTGCATTCTACAACCAGAGACCATGCAAACAAATTTGATTTCTCAGGCTATCATCACCTCCAACTAAAACTATAACAAAGGAGTGATTTCCAATTTAATCAAAGGCAATGCTAGTTGGAAAGACAAAAAGAAAAGAGCTTACTTTTGTCATTCACTTTTTTTTCTTTTTTTTTTTTTTTTTCCTAATTTAAGCTTTTTCAAAGAATAAATCTTCATCTGAGGGGTGGAGATTCCTTCTGGCACTTGGTTCAGAGGACACAAAGGGGAAAAAATACACCCGGTCTATTTTTATTTTTAAATAATTAACGTGGTTTAATTGGTCACTTCACAGGAATGCTCCAGCCCATTTGGTGATGATGGAATTGTGGTGAGGTTTAAGAAAAGAGGAGGTTTGGCATGTACACAGACTGTCCAGTTTATGAGGCATCTGGTGCTGGTATGAGAAATAAAACATGGCTGTCATGCAGGATGTGACCCAGCTTTACTGATGTGAATCCAGACTCTGTAAACCAGACATGTGAATGGTCCCAAAGGCTGATTTAGCACCACTTGGTGAGCCCAAAGCCAATGAAGAAAACTATGACCTTGTGTGAGCAAGAGAAAGGATTGGTGTAAGGGATCTTGTTGGACAGAAAGAGGACATGGCATTGTGTAAATATGTGAAATGCCATTTTTGTGTCATATGTAACTTGAGAATAGCATCATAAGAGAGAGCCCTGAGGTCACTGAAGAGTGAGGGAAAACACGGGAAAGATGTACCTACCACCACCAGGTTGCCAGGTGGTATATCTGACACAATGGCATCCAGATGTGAGACATGATACTTCTCATGGGGGTGTGATGCAGCTGTGCACCATTAGGCTTGCCTGGGAATTCGTGCCCAAAGCCAGGAACATTTTTACCCCAGAAGTAGAGTCTGGAGGTTGAACACCTCCAGATGGATCATTTCAGTAAATTCCATACAGTTGAGACTTGACCTGGGCCAGGTTTTAAGCACTTTCTTGCGTAAGCACAGTTTGCAAGCACAAATGTGTGCTGTGACACATTGTGTTGGATGTGCATACTCTCTGCTTGAACACATGGGATTTTTCAGGGCAAGCCCTTTCAATTGCTCTATTTCCTTCTAATGGGCCTGTTGCTCTGGAAGTGGACTTTATCTCTCTCCTACAAACTCTCAGCTAGAGTCCCATTCTGAAACAATGTGTTCGTTGGAGGACTAGAGCCTCTTTCCAGCAGATAAGACAAGTCCTAGTGTATTTTAGACTGTGCATCATTCCACGTGAAAATCTTCTAAGTCTATGAGGCAATCTAGAGAGCTGGAAGGTAGAAATGATGCAATATGAAGCCTGCTCTTAAGTAAGCCAAGTATGTGAAATGAAGGACATTGTCTTCCTGGTTGCTCCCTTGGCTGCTCAGCAGCAGTGTATATGTAACTGAAACAGAAGAGAGGGCAATGCAAAACTGAAAGTTGCCTACACCTTATGTGGAATGGGAATACCACATGATACCAAGAGGGACTATTTGCAGTCCCATCAGCACCAAGAAAAGCTGAACCAGACTTCAACTCATCATCTGCCTGTCTGAATGAAAACCTGAGGAAATGAACATGTTCTTCAGAGTTATTTCAGGCTATTACTCCTGATCTCAGCATCTTTTTATTTATTTGGCCTTCTACTTTATAATGCCAGCAGTAAGGATCTAGTCATAATAGTATCCTTTTGTCCAGTGGGGAAATCCTGGCAGGCTTATGCACTTCGAGTAAGTCATAAATTGATGTGACATTCAAATGCAGTTTCTCATCTTTACATCTCACACTTCTACCAGCTTTGTGGTAATCATGAGAGACTCAGTTACATTTTTTGTTGTTGGGTAGATATCTAGATCTATCCTGAGAAGGTCTATTTTTCAGGCAAGGCAAAGAGTATTCATCAAATTTCACACTGCTCTCTTGGGTTCTCAGATAAAAACTGTTCTTCCTGAACTTTCTAATTCCAGTTTGTTTGTATTTTATAAGGGCCAAAAGATAAAGAACCAAATCAGCAAATAAACAAACAAAAAAAAAACACTAGAGACAACTTTCCCAGCAATATATCCCGGAGGTAAATAACATCCAACTCTCCAGTCTTAGCCTATGTCTAAAACTGCAGTAGGCTCAAACCACAGTTGTTAGCTTTACTCTGCTACAGTGACAGCTCAGACATTTAATGTAGCATGGTATTTCTGGTAGCTGATTCCTGGAGAGTGGACCTGAGCTTCTGTAAGAAGTTACTGGACTGAGTGCTTGCCATACTGAAGACATGAGAGTGCTCCATGACTCCTTAGTTGGTAGGCAATTTTCTCCCTTGTTTCAGAAGATGATAGCTTGATGACTTCATGCAGACCACACTGTATACCTAGAAACAAAGAGTAATTTGCCTCAATTTAAAAGCAGGTGCTCCTGGATCTGTAGCATGGCTTATACACACAGTCCCACGTGGCTGGCTCTGAGCCTGCCTGCTGCTGACCAGCCATGGAATGTGAGCCACATGGGTTCTCCAGTGCTGGCTTTGCCCACAGGCAATCTCAGCCAGCCACCTGCTCGGAGTGAGCCTCCCTTCTTGTAATTCCCAGGCCTGTGCCACAAAGGTGCTCAAAGCATGGTTTGCATCCTTCTCCGAAGGGATAAGAAGGCAAATAATTCAGCTGATAACTGGTTGTTATGCTATAGTAATACAGCCAAAAAAGCACCATTTTGCAAAAGTGTTGCAGAACAGGAGCTTTGAACCACAGGATCCTTTCAGGATTGGGTTAGAGTTAAGCTGGTTTGATGTGCATGAAATGAACAGAGCCCATCCCTCTTCCAAAAACTGCCTGCTTTTATGCGGCTGTGTTACAAAAGGATTGTTTTCTTCCTGCAGCCTGATTCAATTTTAAACTCAATTTTTATAGCTCCTATCTGTATAGGCTTCCAGTAAGACTATTCTCATTTGAGCAAAAATTGGTTTGAGGAAGTTTTACCACAAACCCTTAAATACTTTGATATGACAGTATCCATCACTGACAAAGTCAAGGTTAAAAATAGAGTTTACAGGCATAAGTCTGGCATTCGAATTGACTACAATATTGCAAAACGATTTAAAGTCAGCAAAATAATGTTTAACGTGTCCTGGATCCCAAATCTCCTTGGAGGAACAAGAAAAAAAAAGAAGGAAAAAAGTAAGCAACCACAAGATCGGGTCAGATGGTAATTTACTGCTGCCAAGCCTCCTCCATACAAAATCATTGCAGATGCTTCCTGGTCAGCAGCAGTCTAAACAAGCAGTGGAACATTCACAGCTGTAAGCCTGCGTGCCTATTCAAAGCAGCCTTCTGGAAGGGAAGGTGCACGGTTTCAGAGAGGACCTGATGAAGTTAGGATCCTGTGGCAGGATCAGGGCCGTCCTGGAGCTAGAAGGATTTTCATGAGGAAGCTCACACGTGTGTCTTCCCGAAAGGGAGGTTTTATTGATACATCACTGACTGCCTTTGCTTATAGATGTATGAGACTCCCATTAGCTGCACAGAGGGAAAAGAAACATTTTGTTTCCCATGACATGTAGGAGTAAATTCTCTGTCTTTTTATGCATTTTTCTCCTGATACTTTGGGGTTTAGCTAGAGACAGGATATGTGGCAAGCATCCCAGTGCTGCTGGAGGTAGGGAGAGCTTCTCCAAAGCACAGTGAGCACTCAGATGAAACTCAGTTATTTTTCTTCTTTTGGGGGGGAAGGCAGGCATTGCTTAGATCTGGTGTGCATTATTTTAGAGATATTTTGCTTTTCTCTGTGAAGAACGGGTATAACCTGTTCTTCAGGATGCCCGCCATGATAAACTCCTTTCTGAAAGGAAGGAGTTATGGATGCCCCATCTCTGGAGATGCTTAAGGCTGGGTTGGATGGGGCCCAGGGCAGCCTGATCTGGTGGGTGGCAACCAGCCACAGACTAAGCCATTCTGTGATTCTATGAACCAGAAGTACAGCGTGTTCCAACTCTCAGCCTGGGTACATGATGGTCCATGTACCATTTGAGCATTTTACAATAGGTGCTAAACTTCAAAAGGGTGCATGTGAATTGTGTTGGGAGACAAGTAGCAGTTCTGGGTATGTATTTGACCACATATGGTGGCTTGAGACTACTAAGACATTACTTTAGCCACCCAGTGTGCTTTTTTCTGTCCATTGTGTGTTGTAGTTTGGATGACTTGTACTGCAACAGAACTGAGAAACCTCAGCAAAAATCAGGGTAATGTGCTAAAAATTCAGTGACCTTATTACTCATTGGCCATTTGCCAGGCTCCCCAGTGCGTCCTATTACAACACATGCTGCTCTCAATTTTGATGATTTTGTCAAAGCTGAATGTTCGGGTTCAGGTTTTCCATTCTGGATGTATGTCTTTGGGATTAATTGCTTTTTTACTGTTCATTTTCCACACTTCAAACGCCTTTGTCATCTAAGCTTACCAGACAAATATCTCAAGTCTCCACTTTTCAGGCCCGGATCTGAGCAAAACTGAGGAGAGTCTGTCAATAAGCACTGCTCCACAGAAGGAATGAAAGCACTTGGAAAAGGCCAGGAAGGAAGTTCTTAGTAAAGCCAAGAATCATAATGAGGTTTCCCAAGCCTATGGACTGTGTCTTAACTCCAGAGCTATTTATTCTCCTTACCACCTTCTGATACGGCAGGATTGGAATTCGGGGAAGCCAGAAGCTTTGAATCAATTGGGTTTCTGAATCTTTATTTTACAAATAGTTTTGCTTGCACAACTTGTGTCAGATACGTCTCACACCACAGTACCTCTGAACACTAGTCTTATTCGCTGCCCTGCAGGCATCTGTGCTAGCTACACTCCCTGCTGAATTTCTCAGAGATGAAGCCAGATCCTGTTCAAACAAGAAGAAATAATAAAACCCCTTCCACAGGAAAGAGTGACTTGGTAGCAGCTGGGGGCAAAATTAGAAAAAATGAAGGTGGGGTGAGGATAGGAAGGCAGAACCCCCATGCAGCACTTAGCCTCTCCATCGCAAAATTCAAGAGGTCAGTCTGGGCCGAGAAAATGGGTAAGATAGATCCCAGTTGCCCTGTTTTCTCCTTCCAGCTCTGCAGACAGCCACCTTGGGCTTGGCCTCATTGTTACTAAAAGAGTCATTCTTTGACTCCCTAGGAAAGGGCAGAACAAGAGAGCACAGCCAGAAACTCAGTGGAAGGTCTTAGGGAGCTTCATGGGGCCTACAAAATCCTTGCAACACAGCTAAAGCCTCAGCTGCCTGCCTGTCTAGATGGAAGGCTTGGGTCATGGCAGAAGGATGCTGATCCTGAAACCTTAGGAGTTTCAGGAGAGAATGTCCTAATGTGTGAGGAAAATGTTGACAGTTGCAAGCTTTTCATATGGGAATGTTGAGCAAAGTTGATTGCTTCCTTCCCAAACCAACAGTAAACACATCAGGTATGGTTTACCCTCACCATCCTTTGAAACCTAACCATATCCCTTCGGAGATGGCAGGAAAAATTTACAACAGAGAATTCTGAATATCTTTTAGGGACAAAATGCTATTAAGCAGGTTATTTTTGGTTCAAAAAGAGTTGTGTCATGATCTCTCTCTCATGGTGACCACACGTGACCACAGTGTCATGGATCTATTCAGCACTCCTAGTGAAAACTTGAGCCTAGTTCCATGGTCAGTCACCCAATGCAAGCTGAGCTACTGATCCTGCCCCAGCACGCAGGATAATTAAGACTGGGAAACTCAACCAGATGAAACTGAACTGCTTTTAGGCATTCACTCTTTTTCAGCCAGATCAGTTTCCTGGCCCCATTCGTCATGAGACCACACATATGCCACTGCTTCTATAAGAGCAGGAGAGGGAATAAGAGAAATGTGGGGTAGGTGGATTTACCCCTGCAGACTAATGCTGGCTCAGTTCACCCTGACTCAGGGTAGTAGTCAGAGACATACACATCTCTGTGACATGCTTTGGCTCCAGAACACTACACTTCTGTGAAATTTCCTTATTTTGAAAACACACGAATGAGCTCTAGTTCAAATTTAAAGTAATACATAAATTACAGCAGATCTTGGCTTAACATACAATGCCTTACCAAAGGAAAAAAAAAAAGAAAAAAGAAAAAAAAAACATATATGTGTTCACTAATCCAGCCAAGAACTGTAATAAACTGTCAACATCAGTCTCGTTCACTTCATTTTGGGGTCTTGCTAGTCCTCACACAAATGTTCTTCAGCTATGATCTCCAGGCTGGTGGTCTGTGGGGATTTTTCTGTTCCTGTGATTCTGTTTTTTTATATCTGAATCTGATAAACTTCATTAAAAGAAGTCAGTACTCTATGGGATGAAATGTCAGGCCTGTCCTCATGAAATATTGTGTTCTGAATTGACCCCAGAGAAGACAACTCCATGTGGCAAATAGTGCAGTCATTTCAGTGCATTGCTGAGCCTAGCTATTAAGCACTTTTGAGAAGTAGGGTATATTAGTTGTCACTCAGCACCTTGTGATTGCATTTCCATGGCTGGTGGACCAGACTGCAGTGTGGGCAAAGAATGTCCTGCCTGCTTGCAAAAGGCTGTGTGGACCTATGCACATGTATGTCTAACTACACAAATGAATTCTCTAGATGACATGAAAATCTTTGCCCAGAATACAGGAATAACACAAGAAGCATCATTATCCTCGCTTCCCAAAAGTGCTTGGGTCATTTTGAAAAGAAATCTGAACAGGGGGAATTTTCCTTAGGGAAGGCAGGGACAAATCAGGGCATTGCAGTTATACAGTGATATAAAACAGCAGGAGAGCCATAAAGATTTATGGACAGGTTCCTCTACTCCCAGGTAAAGGAAAACAAGTACTTCCATAAGAAAAAAAGGAGGGACAAAAGCACAATTCTTGTTGTAAATGTATCTTAAAATAGGAGTGCAATATAATGACAGCCCATGTGGGAGCTCAGCTTGGTTTTCACAGTCCCATACCTTGTTTGGTTTTGCTTCTTCTAAGACAATGCTCTCCGTGAGCCATCTGTGCCCTAATCACCCCTCTGTCATGGTGTTTGCTGTTTCAATAAGTAGTTGCCATATTGCATATTTGTGCCTGCTTCCTGCACCCTGGTCCAAGCCTGTCTTGGTTTTTCTGCTACAAGGCTTCAGCCCTCACTCAGTTACACCAGCTTTTGCCAGTACAACTTGTCATCAGCTCTAAGGTCAGTTCCACTCCCATTCGACATCCCATTCACACGTCATCAGGCAGCCATAGGCTCTGTGCTAAATCCAACCCTACAAAAGAGCAGGCTTAGCAGCACTATAAAAATTAAAGAGGTGCCTTTGTCTGTGCTCATCACCTCCCAGGTGACACTCTATGGAGATCAGCAGTTCCTGGTCTGAGGCTTAAGCCCATCACAAGCATTATGTGCCCAGCAGATCTAGCCCAGGAGACAATCAGCATGGAGCAGCAAGCCCACACTGGCAGCTGCTGTTGCAAGAGACAGCCTTTTGTCCATTCTTTTTTCTTTTTTTTTTTTTTCCTTACAGCAGGTTGTGTCCATCCTGTGATATTTTGTCTAACAATTCTTAATGGTTCAGGAAATGTTTTCAGATAGATCCAGCTGGTTGCCAAAGAAGACACCAAAGTAGTTTCCCCCTATTAAGGTTTGACCTTATCTCAGCAGACATTCTGTGCTGCCCAACATTTGGTTTGCTATTCCCAGAGACAAGGGGTTGTGATCACCTTGAGTAACATCTCTGATTTGCAGTATTCTGAGTGGAGAGAATGTCAGTGAGTAGAAGTAAGCACAAGTTTAGATCAGTGCCATCAGACTTTCTAGAATGTATTTTACTGGCTGAAGGAACCTATGGTGATGTTTTTCTCTTGCTCATTCCTACTGGAGAACATCTTGCTCTAAAGAGGCATTCAGATGACCACACAGCACTGAAGAGTTTCAAGTACTTTGAGAGAGCAAATGGATTTTCCTATAGAACGCTTCTTTGAATGAAGAGATATTCATTTCACCATGCACAGGGGAAACTGAGAAGTGTCTCACTGAGATTTGGAATACAGATTAGGAGCTGATCTGAGGTGCCCAATCCCAACTGCAGTGCACATGGGTATGAATTCCCAGTAACATCACCTGGCAGGTCTGGCTGAAACTAGCACCGAGAGTATATGGAGAGCCATTGAGAGTAATAGAGCAGCTGTTCCTTTCTTTCAGCCCCAGGTAACATTCCTGCTGGTCCCTTCAGCTCAAGCTGTGAAGGATTTCTGTCTCTTCCTGCATATTTGTGAGATCTGCTTCCAGTAGTGGGGATAGTTTCCTCTGGCACCAAGGAGCAGCTGTTAGTATAACATCCTTGTGCTCCTTACAGCTTCATTAAACCTCAGATGTGACATCAGCTCTAGCAAGATGAGGCTTCCTTGCTCAAAGACTAAGGTTCTGGCTACGTGCCACTCTATAAGCAGCATATGCTTGGGCCATGCTGTCAGTCCCCACAGATGACCTCCTGCCAACTGGTGAGAATTCACCACGCTCTGCATGCAGATGCTGTGCATGTTTTTGTCATTGACAGGCCCTTGACCAAGTCACCTCAATCGCATCTAGAACATGAGGAGCAAACCCATTCCTTGTCTCCAGGGTTGTTTGGGAAGTGTCATAGCTGGAAAACAGTGGCTTTGAAAAGTACTGCAGCCTGAACAAAATGTAGTGTCCCAGAACTTGAAGCAAATGGACAACGGGGTGGCCTTTTCCTGCTTGCCTCCGTGTACTGGTCCTCCTGAATGTAAGGGGATTGTTGCTTCTGTGTGTAGTTGTCTGTCACTGCCGAACTCTCTGTGGGAGTGTGGCTGTAAACGTGCTGAAAAGCCAGCTTGTACTCAGGAAGCACAGGAATGCTTGCAGAATAAATAACAATGTAAATTAGACAGGACTGGAGCTCACCAGCCTCAGCAGGAGTTATCCCCTTGTCCAAACATCCAGCCAGCAGCTGATGAGCTTCCTTGTGTGCTCAGCAGTGCTCCTGCCAAGCTGAAAAGATTAAGAAGGAAAACTTGCCCCAGCTGAACAAATAGCTCAAAGGTCTGCCTGAGGCTCAGTAGATGATTAGGGCAGCACGGATAGGTGTTAGTTTCTGTAGCCTGAGAAACAGATTCAATTAGCATCACACCCAGCACCCGCTGCCACAATACCCTGCAGGACCTGCAACACACCTGAAATGGTGCTCCCTGGAAATGGACTTTCTGCAACTGTCAAGAGATTCAATTCTGAATTCAAAGATACAAATTCAGACACCATCCACTCTCAGTCAGGCTGTCCATTTAACCACAGAAACAGGTAGCTGGAAAACCAAATGCCTCCCACCTTCCTTCTCCCTGCCCAAGCACAGCACACAACTAACAGGCAAAATAGACATCATGTCTTACAGAAATGTTGACAAGCCTGCAATGTTTCACCACGGCTGCTGAGCCCAGAAGTCAAGTTCTTCTTGGCTCATCTCCCCTAGGGTGGTTGATGGCTCAGCAGGGACTGCAAATCTATGGCTTCCAGCTAGTGAAGCACCACTCAAAAACATCTTCTAATTTACAGCCAAGCATTTATGCAAACACTGTAAATCCAGGGATGATCCACAGGGACTAGTGTAATCATACATTAAGAATAACACAGCATTATGAAACACTCATGACAGGTTCAACCCCACCTGCTTTAAATCACCTCTAAGGGCTTTGGCCCCATCTTAGTCCCCAACTGATATTAAACCTGCTGTCACACAACTTTTTCTGACATGCCTGCTGCACCTGAACTCATCACCAGAGACTGACAGCAGGGAAGAGAGGGGGCTGGAGACCCCAGTGAGTGTTATCATCTCGGGGGGAACTTTTAATATGTTTTCCATCATAGCCATAAACTGAATGATCCACAAACTTTTATGATTATCTCCCCGTGGCATCCCAAAGGATAGAAAATAAAACACATTTTTATTATGCCTCTTGAAAGATATAACCACTCATTTTTCTTTAAAGGAACCCTGCAGATGGGAGACTAAGCAACTGCTTTGCTTTCTGAACCTAAGGTGTCCTTTTGGGTGGTCAAACTGAACATTACTATCACAGCTTAACACCAGGACGCTCAAAAACAACGTAGATGTGGTTTGTCATATGTAGCAATCCAATGCCTATTTCAGGGTATCCTGGAGTTAAGCTGTGACTTTAATTTGGAGAGATCGTTCCTATTATCACCGAGAACAGAACTGGAAATGTGTAAGTCTTTCCTTGCAGAGAGAATAAGTAAGTATCACATTTAATTGCTTCCCACCTTATAACTGTTATCTGACAGGGATCCTCTCCTAGACTGTGGAGTGCCATTAGCATTTTCAAACTTTGCCTTGTATCCCTTAGGAGGGACCTCTTTAGTACATGCACAGAGCATCTGCAATTACTCTGTTCCAGATGTAAGCACTGAGCAGAAGAGGAGGGTTAATTTGGACATTTCACCATGTCTTCCTGTCCCCATCCTTGAGTAGTTTCCATCAGAGTGTCTACAACCAGGCTTGTTGATACTAGTGGCCTTATGTGAGCAACAATAAAAAACATTATCAATAGACACCAGGAGATTTACAGTTGCAGAATGCACAAAGCAAGTGGTTGTGCAGCTGAATATATAGCACCCAAGGACAGGAGCTGATTTAAAATGACCTATAAATATGCAGGCATTTGTCACCGAGGGTGGCTTAAATGTGTCACCTCTGACACCTCCAACAAATCACATGAATAGGGGGGTCATATAAACAAGAGTAAATGAAAAAAGTAAATGAAAAAGTGTTTTATTAATCAGATACTGTGAAAAGTCCTCTGACACGGCAGAAAGCTGAAATTACTAAGTTTGAAAATACCAACTTGGCAAAAAGAGGGGGGGAAATGGTGCTTTTCTTCTAGTATGCAGTACTGTTTCTTTGTCCTGATGTCAAGTTACACACTGCACAAATCCTGGGAGGCACCTCCTAATAAACTCATGGCTTCAGAACCAAGAATGGTATCAGTGCATCTTAAATAACAGAAGTGCCCACTAGCCCACTCTAAATGGTACAACAGTGTCAGCTACAGGAATGGGTTCTAGGAGGGAATGACTCCATTGCAGTAACTTGTGGTCAGCAGCTCCCTGTGTGAACACTGTTGCAGTGCACACACCTTGCCTGTATCACTCCTCACATTCAAATTTGTCCTTTCAGACCTCAACAATGGAAGCACCTCAGCTTACCAGGCTGGCAGTTAAAATCTTCACTGTCATTGCTATTTTCCCAGTGCAAAGCTGACATTGCCTATCTAAGCCTGCAGTTTCTCTTGCTCTCCAGAGACCCTAGGAACAATTTATATGTATAGATCATTGATCAGTCTTTCTCCTCTGGATGTCATCAAAGGCTTTGTCCTTTTTTTTGGAGTGTGATGCCTATACAAAAATACTGTGCTTCAATAAGAACTTTTTGATACCAAGCCAAAGATTATTTCTTAGGACAGGTCAATGTTGCTCTTCATGCATCCATTTTTTCAGAGCAGCCTCAAATTCTGTCTGGAATTTCCAAACTTGCACTGGGAAATACAGAACTTCTGCCTTGACATTTATTCCCCATCTTGTGTGTTTCCATCTGAGCCACTGAATATCCCTTCATAAGCAGAAAACTATGACTGGGGGGGGAAAAAATCACGTTCATTTAATTCCACTGCTTTGACTGGGAAGACCTCTGCAAATTCCTGCCCCAGTCTCCACTTCATCACCAGCAGCTGTGTTAGTATTTTCAGACTCTCAAGGCTCAAGCTAAACTCACTTTTAACATTTTAACCTTTTAACCATTGGAAAGAGAAGTTAGAATGTCATGCTCTGTTCACCAGCCGTCTTCTCATAGACTTAAAGAACATGGCACATTCCCATCATTAAGCACGTCTTTAACTTCAGTGGGGTTCATTTGATGCTATGCTTATTCATATTGGTCCCTTCTCTTTAAGAAAATGATAGTTTAAAAGATTCTCTGTGTCTGTTACTGAACCACACCAGACAATTACCCTTCCTATTTTAATAGCAAAGTAGTATATAAAGACTATTCTGCTACTCCCAGTATCATGTGTTCAATTATCATGATCTGTAAATCAAACCTAATGATTCCCAATAAATATCTTACAAAAGTTCTCCTGGATGCTTACACAGCAGGAATAAATTGCCAAGCAAAGGTATCTGGCAGGAATCGCTTTCGTTCCTGACCTCATTACTCATGAATCTGCATGCAGCTGCCTCTCACCCCCATCAAAACTGACAGCAACAATCAAATGCAGCCATCAAATGCAAACCCCAGAGGCCTGAGAGATGACTGTGCATAGTTGCCAAATTCCCAGCAGAATAGCTCCCCCCAATGCACCACATTGGAGCACTTTACCCATGCTTTGAAGGAAATGCT